GTCAGATAAAAGCCCCGGCTTCATAGATCTCCAACAGAGATCGATCGAAAGTCTGGAATTAAAAAATGGCAATGGCGTCGCCAGAACATACGGCCAGCTCCGACGCGTACACGGAGATGTCGAATCTTCTTCCTCTTGCCTCCGCCGCGCAGCAGCCCTACGTGTCCGAACTCCTCTCGTTCACTCTCGATCGCCTCCATAAGGTATTCGTGCAGTCGCATATTGCTTGATTTTGTGTCTGGTGTTTAAATTTGAGGCAATGTTTGTGTTTTTTTTTTTGTCTAAGGAACCGGAATTGCTGAAAGTAGATGCGGAGAGAATACGGCGGCAGATGCAGGAGGTGGCGGTGGGGAATTACCGCGCATTTATTGCGGCGGCGGATGCCTTGCTCGAGATCCGAGAGGAGGTTTCTTCAATTGACAAGCATCTGGAGTCTCTGGTAAATCTTAATTTGACTATTTACGTCTTTTTTATTTATTTGATTTGAGGTACTATTTAGCTGGAGTCTTTGTATTGATATTTGTGAATTGTTAATGTTAAGCTGCTCCATTGCAAAATAGATGGAAAAAAATCGATACATTGTAAATTGCGAATTTGAAGGTTCGGTTATAGCCTTCAATAAGGATAAGAAAAGTTGAATTTACTATTAAGTTCAGGAGCCCAATAATTATGGTAGTTTTGTCAATTTCTTTAGCAGGTTTTTGGATTTCGAAACTCATGCATTTCTACTTTGATTGTTTTGGGGTATAACGTGGAAATATGGTTTTCTTTTGCCATTTTGTAGTTCTAATTAAGGGAGAGTGCATTTGCATTCTTATATCTGAATGCAATTAGTTAAGTAACGTTATAAAAGTTGAAATCTTTGAATGCAAATACTGGGTTCATTAAAGCATAGGGGTGAATTTTGCGGCTAGACTCTTGGATACAGTACCACACATTAGCACCGTATAACAATAGTTTTTATTTGTTTCTTCGTTGTGCTTGTGTCATTAGTATGTGATACAGTGATAGTGATAAATTCATGGAGATTAATAGATGTTTGCCCTCTTCTGCAGATAGCTGAAATTCCGAAGCTAACATCTGGCTGCACTGAGTTTGTTGATTCCGCCGAAGATATTTTGGAGAAAAGAAAGATGAACCAAACACTACTAGCAAATCATAGCACTTTGCTTGATTTGCTTGAAATTCCTCAACTCATGGAAACGTACATTTCCCCAACTTATTTATATGCTTCTTCAGTTACCTGATACCATATGTTGTCTTTAAATACAGCTTAAAGTTTCTGAAAGAATGATTAGATAGCATATTTATTCAGGTGTGTGAGAAACGGAAATTATGATGAAGCTCTTGACCTGGAAGCATTTGTTGCAAAGCTTACTACAATGCATCCGAAGTGAGTTTTCTGC